CCCAAAAGTTGGGACATTTCTATATATAAACAATAATCCTGTCTTAAAATCTGTATTTTTTCTCATTATCTTCTGCAGGCCAATTAGTTCTACGTCAGCCTGAACACCTAAATTCAGCCAATCATATATCAACGGTCATCTGTCATCTGACCTCCGACACTAAACTCTCCTCCTCTTGCATGTTTCCTCTGTCCATAGCGTTCCTTGACAGCGTCGTTTCTAAGGCACCAATTTAGTGCTACTTGGTCCCAATGGAATTTCCCATTGGGAACCTGCTAGCACTAAGATGCTAACTGGTTAGCAAGATGCTTCCAACAAACCGGCCACAACCAAACTACTTGTGAACCTTCAACCACAGCAATCCCGCCCCCTATCACTTTATTCATTTGTGTAAAGTCATTCACCACTCGGGAGAATTCGGAAATGCAATGGTTGGAACGGCCGCACCCCTACGACTTTAAATAATTAGTAAAACAGAATTTGTAAAGAAAAAAATTTAAATAGATCCAAATCAGTAACCATGTCTGTTCCAGCACAGATCATTATTAGAATTTCCTTGAGTATTATGTCTTCAGTACAGGCGCCATGACATGATCTACTGGGGAACTGGCCCCCGTCGGCCCCTATCTAGAACCGCCCATGCTCATTTCCCCATGTGGTTGCAATAGTTAGAAAAATTCACTTTTTTTTTATAGTTTCTATCTAAAGAGAATGACTTGTTACTGGAAGGATCCATCCAGAGTCTCAGTGGCTCCTCTGTGCCGTACATCAAAGCCCCCCCCCCCCCCCCGTGCCAAATTCCTCCGTATTGCGTTGAAGCCGCCCGCGAACCAAAGCCCAGGCCCAAATGAAACGTTTCAGGGGAGAAATGTTGCCGGGACGCGTCAAACGTAGGATCAGACGTTGGATGGAGCTGAGCGTGTGAGAATCAGAGTTTAGCGTGTGTTTGCAGTATTTATCCGTCTGACTGCCGCTTGTGTCTCCGTCTGCCTCTGTTTCCATGGAAACAATCTCTGCTCTGAACGTCTTTTTATTTAGCGTCCATATGCTAATGTTTCCCTTAAGAGATTAACATTAATCTCTATTTGCGCTACTTTATCCTGGATATCTGCTGTTTTCAGCTCTATGAAATAATCTGCTTTAAAGTTTTTCAAATTTGATTTATTTCAATATAAATGATTTTTTATTTTTATTTACAAAAATAAAATATTCATTTTATATTGTTAGACCTTCTCCCCCCCACCGCCACCCTGCCTTTAATAAAACATTTAGATTGTTTAAGTTTGTTGTAAAAATTTTTGTTTGGACATTTTCTTTAAATATTAGAATTTTTAAACAAATGTTTTGATATTTTTATAACTAAAAAATTATAGTAGAATGGAGTCAGATAATTGTTTTTACTGAAGTATTTATTTGGAGTATATTTAAGATTTTTTTTTGTTAAAAAAGTTGCAAATTTGTTTTAATAAAAAATTAAGAGTACAATTAATAAAAAAATGTAAATGTTTGATAATCCATAGTATTAACATTCTTAGTTTTTTTTCTTTTTTACTGAAAGTAATTTACTTTCAGTAAATTACTTATTATTATTATTTATTTTTTTTATTGGCAAAAGAAATTCCTTAATATATTTGTATTTATTTAAAATCTAATTTTAGTTATTTTAACAGGGAGAATATTTCAGGAAATTTTTGGATGAAAATAAAATCCAATTTTGTATTTAAATTTTTCTACTTTCTATTTGTGCATTTTGGATCATTTTGTTTTACTTAATAAGGAAATGTCTGAAACATTCTGACATTTAGAGGCTAAATTCTTTTTGCTGTCGGTCAATTTTCTTTTTAAAGAAAAGGAAATCTCAATGTTTCAAGGTTTAAAAATATATTTTTTATTATCTTTAATTTAAAAATATGGAATATTTTATTTT